TCAGGTCGCCCAGGCTGGAGTACAGCGATGTGATCTCGGCTCACCGCAACCTCCACCTTCCGGGTTCAAGCAATTCTCCTGCCTCAGCCTCCCAAGTAGCTGGGACTACAGGCCGTGCCACCACGCTCAGCTAACTTCTGTATTTTTAGTAGTGACAGTTTCCCATGTTGGCCAGGCTGGTCTCGAATTGGGTGATCTGCCCACCTCAGCTTCCCAAAGTGCTGGGATTACAGGTGTGAGCCACTGAGCCCAGCCCGTCCAAGTCAATTTCTGGAGCCAGAACACCTCATGCTCTAAAGACAGGACCTGAACTCCTCAGAGCCAAGATTGCCAACCTTTCAGATCTGGAGCTCCCCATCATGCCTTAGAGAGCTGTCCTCACACTCCAATCCTTCAGATCTGGATCCCCCCCAACACACACCCTCGCCTTGCCCCAGAGTCAGCATCTCCCAGCGCTGAGATATGAAGACCTTCACCTGGTCAAACTGGCACCCCCCCCAGTTTTCAGACAGGGAGTCCCCCACATCCTCAGAGCCAGAACACTTCATCCCTCAAGACAGCGCGTCTTTCTAACTCCTCAGAGCCAGCCCCCCAAATCCTTCCCAGCTGGGGACCCCTCTCTCTCTCCCATGCCCCAGAGCAAGGTCTCGAACACGGTAGCCCTAATCATGGGCCACAACGGCGGCTCCCATTCGCCGCTTTGGTGCCTTTGGCGCCCCCGCCAGTCCGTACCATGGTCGCGGCTCCAGCTGCGGGCGGGCGGGCGCGTGACCCGGGCAATAACGGCTCCCGGGGTCGCGGCGGCGCGCGGGGGGGCGGGGCGGGGCCGTGGGCGGGGCCTGGCCCGCACCGGGCCGTCCCGCGGGCGGCTACAGGCGAGCGGCGGCCGGGTATGGCGGAACAATGGGAGCTGGACGAGGAAGGCATCCGCCGCCTGGGGGCGCTGACCTCGGAGCAACCGGGTAGGGTCTGGCCGGGAGGGTCTGGACCGGGAATGTAGGGTCAGAAGCTGTGGGAAGAAAACTGAAGAGGAAGCAGGGGAACCTGAAATAGAGGCGAGCGAACCACAGAGGAGCAGTACCTGAGGCTGAGGAGGGGTAACTTGAGGCAGAAGGTTACAGGGAGGTGGAGGTGGAGGAACTGAAGTAACAGGGGAGTCTGGGGCAGAGCCCGAGGAATTGAGAGAGAAGAAGGGAGTGAGAAGTAGAGTAGGAGAAACAAAGTGAACAGGAGATCCTGCGGCAGGTGACAGAACTGCCGAGCGCGGTGGCTCACGCCTGCAATTCCAGCACCTTGGGAGGCCGAGACGGGTGGGTCACCTGAGGTCAGGAATTTGAGACCAGCCTGGCCAACATGGTGAAACCCCCGTCTCTACTAAAAATACAAAAATTAGCCGGGCGTGGTGGCACGTGTCTGTAATCCCAGCTACTCAGGAGGCTGAGTCAGGAAAATCGCTTGAACACTGGAGGCAGAGGTTGCAGTGAGCCGAGATTGCGCTACTGCACTCCAGCCTGGGCTACACAGCGAGACTCTCTCTCAAAACGTAAAATAAAATAAGCCTATTAGACATCCAAGTGTAAGGTACTAAGTAGGCAGTTGGATATATGGGTCTGGATCTCAGAGGAGAGGTCAGGGTTAGAGATGTAAGTTTTGGAGACATTAGCAATAGATGGCATTTAAAGCCACAGGAGTGAATGAACTCAGCTAGAGAATGTCGATGGAGAAGAGAAAGAAAGCTTAAGACTCAATTTTGGAATAGTTCAATGTTTAGAGGTTGAATGGAGGAAGAATGTGGTATCTTAGAATTTAAGAAGGGGTATCGTATGGAGAGAGCAATGGTCAACTCTGCCAAATGCTATTCACAGGCTGAGCAAGTTAAATGCAGAGTGTCTGTTAGATTTAGCAACATGGAATTCACTGGTGACTTTGACAGGGGGAGTTTTGGGAGAGTGGGGAAGAGTGAAACCAGATTGGAGTGGTATGAAAAAAATATGAAGGGAGGAGACAGTGAAAGTAAGAACTTTTGCTGAAATGTTTGGCTGTAAAGGAGACTACAGAAATGGATGGTAGCTGAAGCAAGCATATGTTGTGCAGTCAAGAGTTATACCAGAACAGGATATACTAGAGCATGTTGGTAGTCTAGTGATTAATTATTTGGTAGAGAGGGGAAATATATATAATTATTTATTCATTTTGACTATTAAAATAATGCAATTTATTCTATGGGTAATATAATAATTGTACAGTGAGAAGTAAGTTTTGACTCCGCCGTCCCTGTCTCATAGGCCTAGTTCTGCTTCCCAAAGGCAACTACTGTTATCAGTATCTTGGATAGCTTTCCAGAAATATTCTCTACATATATACGCATATATCACTTATTTTACAATTTTATATTGTGGCAATTTTCAAATATATACAAGAGTAGAGATAACAGAATAATGAACTCCATTACCCTACCTCAACATTTATCATAAATTCATGGCCAAGCTTATTTCATGTATACTTCACCTATCCTCCACCCAACCCCAACCCCCTATACTATTTTGAAGCAAATCCCAAGTATATGATTTCCTCTATTAATATTTCAGTGTGTATTTTATTTATTTATTATTTTTCAGATAGAGTTTTGCTCTGTCGCCCAGGCTGGAGTGCAGTGGCACAATCTCAGCTTACTGCAACCTCTGCCTCCCCATTTCAAGTGATTATCCTGCCTCAGCCTCCCAAGTAGTTGGGACTACAGGTGCCTACCACTATGCGCAGCTAATTTTGTATTTTTAGTAGAGACGGGATTTTGCCATGTTGGTCCGGCTGGTCCCTAACTCCTGACCTCAAGTGATCCACCCGACTCAGCCTCCCTAAAAGCTTGGATTACAGGCGCAAGCCACAGCACCTGGCCAGTATGTATTTTTAAAAGATAAGAACACTTTTTAAAAAATCACATATGCAACCTAAAAAATTTAATAGTAATTTCTTTTTTTGTTGTTTTGTTTTGTTTTTGAGAAGGAGTCTGCCTCTGTTGCCCAGGTTGGAATGCAGTGGCATGATATTGGCTCACTGCAGCCTCTGCCTCTCGGGTTCAAGCAATTCTCCTCCCTCAGCTTCCCGAGTAGCTGGGATTTAAGGTGTGTGCCACCATACCAGGCTAATTTTTTTTGTATTTTTAGTAGAGACGGGGTTTCACCATGTTAGCCAGGCTGGTTTTGAACCCCTGACCTCAAGTGATCCACCCGACTCAGCCTCCCAAAGTGAACAGTAATTTCTCGATATCACGAACTATCCAACTAGTGTTCTTATTTCTCCAATTGTCCTATAATTTTTTAAAATTAGAATCCATACATGGTCCATATATTGCAATTGGTTGATATATGTCTTAAATCTTATTTGATCTGTAGGCTCTCCCTTTTTTCCCTCGCATTTTCAATTGTTTTTGAAGAAAGAGTTTACTATAACCTGAATTTTGCTCATTGCATTCCTAACATGTCTAACATTTTCCCATGTTCCCTGTACTTCCTGTGAATTGGTATTTAGATGAGGCTTCATCAGATTTGGGTTGGATTTTTTTTGTTTGTTTGTTTGCAAGATGATTTCATAGATAATGGTGTATGTTTATATTAGGAAGTATATAGTGCCTAGTGTTCTTTTTGTGATATCAGCCACTGAATATGATTATCTGAGTTAATTCATTAGGGATTGCAAAATGGTAATTGTCTATTTCTTTAATTCTTCTTCATTAGCTGTAATACTTCTATAAAGAGAAATTTCCTCACATCAACTGTTTGCTTATCCTGAGGTACAGTTTGTGTAGAAAAGGCAGCATAAAACTTGATGTTTTTCACCTGATGTTCCAGCTTTCAGAATAATGAGTTATTTTCTTAGCATTCTCTAAAGGTGACGAGTGAGGACTGTTTTGCTTTCTCACTACCATTATAAACTCATCGATTTAAATATATGTCTTAGAGCTGGGCAAGTGGCTCACACCTGCAATCCCAGTCACTTTGGGAGCCCGACACGGGCGGATTACCTGAGATCAAGAGTTCAAGACAAGCCTGGCCAACATGACGAAACCTCATCTCTACTAAAAATACAAAAAAAAAAATTAGCCAGCCATGGTGATGGGCGCCAGTAATCCCAGCTACTCAGGAGGCTGAGGCAGGAGAATCACTTAAGCCAAGGAAGCAGAGGTTGCAGTGAGCTGAGATCGCACCACTGCACTCCATGCTGGATGAAAGAGTGAGACTCAGTCTCACAAAACAAATAAGTAAATAATAAATAAATATATATATATATATATGTGTGTGTGTGTATACACACACACACACACACACACACACACACACACACACATATATATGTCTTAGTCTCTTTTCTGTTGTCATAACAGAATGCCTGGGTAATTTATAAAGAACAGAAGTTTATTTGGCTCATGGTTCTGGAGGCTAGGAAGTCCAAGAGCATGGTACCAGCATCCTGGTGAGGGTCATTCATGGTGGAAGGGCAGAAGGTGCATGCATGAGATGAGAGGGAGAGAGAGGGAGAGTGAGAGGGAGAGGGACAGGGAGAGGGAGAGGGAGAGACGGAGAGGAAGAGAGGGAGAGGGAGAGGGAGTGGGAAAGGGAGAAGGAGAGGGAGGGAGAGGGAGAGGGAGGGGGAGGTGGGGGTAGGGGGGGAGAGAGAGAGAGAGAAAGAGAAAGAGAGAGAGGGAGAAGACTGAATTCATTCCTTTATTAGGATAACTAACTCCCATAACTAACTCCACAATAACAGCATGAAGCCCCTACAACCTGATCACCTCTTAAGGCCCCACCTCCCAATACTGTTACATTGGCAATTACATTTCAACATGAAGGCTGGGCATGGTGGCTTACACACTTTGGGAGGCCAGGGAGGAGGATGAGGCCAGGAATTTGAGACCAGCCTGGGCAACATAGCAAGACCCTGTCTTTACAGAAAATTTAAAAATTAACTGGGTGTGGTGGTGTGTACCTGTAGTCCCATCTACTCAGGAGGCTGAAATAGAAGGATCCCCTGAGCCCAGGAGTTTGAGGCTGCAGTGCAGTATGATAGTACCACTGCACTCCAGGCTGAGTGACAAAGTAAGACCCTGTCTCTGAATAAATTAATATACTTCATCATGAGTTTTGGAGGGAACATTCAAACCATAGCAATATATTTCAATGTGTGTTTTAATCCATTATAGTTATTATCATAATAGATGTTCAATTTATCCTAAATTTAGTTAATAGGCGATCTTTCAAGTTGACTCCTGAGGTCTTTTTAAAAAAAGTTTTATTTATTAGAAACATTCATTGTCATTATAAACAAGCTTTGTTAAAGGTTGTTAATTCAATTTCCAAATGAGCTGTAAATGGTTTTCATTAGAGAGACTACTTGATTTGCTGTTTTCAAAGAGAAAATTTTTGCCCATTGGGGTTATGTAACGCATGTATTAAAATTGGAAGATCATTATTTTGTTCTTGACATTTATGCTATGCAGTGTTTGATTTGTTCTCTGATTTATTTGTCTTCACTCTTTATAAACACAGAAACCAAATCCATGACCTCTTAAGACATGCATTCATGTGAATCATTAAAGAATGTTTGTCTTTGTGGCAGTTTATCATTTTAATGATAATTCAGGCTCCTTCTGAAAATGTCTGCTCTTCAAAACAGACCGCAGTGAAAGGCATGAGAAATGCTGTGAGTCATTGATGGAACCATAATTGTCCTTAGCTTTTGTCACATTGTAACAGACTCACAAGGTGTTAGATCATTACATACCACAGAATTACCAATACACTGCCTTCAAAGTCAGGAAAATTTTATTTATTTTATTTTGCTTTTTTTTCTTAAACAGGGTCTTATTCTGTTGCCCAAGCTGGAGCGCAGTGGCATGATCATGGCTGACTGCAGCGCTGGGCTCAAGCAATCCTCCTGACTCTGCCTACTGAGTAGCTGGGACTACAGGTTCATACCACCATGCCCAGCTAATTTTTTCTTTTTCTTTTTTTTGTAGAGATAGGTGCATTTTAAAAAGATATAATTCACATACTATAAAGATCAACATTTTATTTTATTTTATTTTAATTTTTTTGAGTCAAGAGTCTTGCCCTGTTGCCCAGGCTGGAGTGCAGTGGCCCGACCTCAGCTCACTGCAACCCCTGCCTCCCGGGTTCAAGCAATTCTCCTGCCTCAGCCTCCCGAGTAGCTGGTATCACAGGCATGCTCCACCATGCCTGGCTAATTTTTGGTAGAGACATGGTTTTACCGTGTTGACCAGGCTGGTCTTGAACTCCTGACTTCAAGTAATCCACCTGCCTCGGCCTCCAAAATGCTGGGATTACAGACGTGAGCCACTGAACTCAGCCATGATTCATTCTTAAGGTGCCAGTAGTTTTTGCTCTTATACCATAAATGTAAATGTTAATACTGTAAAAAAGGCAATTAATTTCTTTTTTTTTTTTGCCCTCTGAAGTGAATGAATTGAACCAAATAATTAATTTCTTTATATTATTATGAAAATACTTTTTAAAAAGTAGTTTTATCTTTATGGACCCCTGTACATGTCTCAGGGACCTCCAGGGGCTTAGAGACCACATTTTGGGAGCTGCTACATTGCTATGATGTTTTTAAGCTTGTCTTGAAACATTAAGTTACAGTTTTCATTTGTGAATGCATCTTTCTGGAGTGATTTTAATTTTACAATTATCATTCTGCTCCTTTAAAAAAATAATAACCTCATATAAGATTTGACTATAATCCTTTTCTGTGGCTCGAAAGGTGGGTCAGAATAGCTTTTTTAGTTTCAAGGTTTTGGAGCTCCCTCTTCTGTTGTGTTCACAAGGTACTATAAAACATGACATGCAGGCCGGGCGCGGTGGCTCAAGCCTGTAATCCCAGCACTTTGGGAGGCCGAGGCGGGTGGATCACGAGGTCAAGAGATCGAGACCATCCTGGTCAACATGGTGAAACCCCGTCTCTA